CAGCACTCTGTAGGAGTGTTTTGTTTGATTTTTGGCAAAATACTGCTAATGTCAAATCGCACATCGTTAAAACAACAATTACGATATTATCGCAGACGATATATATCGCACACCCTGCACCACTGTCTTTTTGGCTAATTTGTGCAAAACCTCTTGCTAAACTGTCAAAGCTTCATTTTAACCACCAATGCAACGATGCAAGTATTTACCTTACCTATACATGCTTGCGAAGGGTTGATGTCGAGATTTTATAAACTGCTAGTTTGGTCTCCCTAGGCGAACACCGCTTACACTGCATAATAGAGCTTAAATATGGCCAGGGGTTCACTTCATTTCCTTCGAGTTCAACTTAAGCAGAATACGACGGGGTTTCGTTTTCAGCTGGGTCTGCACCACTAACACCTGTCTTGTCCGTCTGCATCTTTCTTGTGATTTTAGTGCCAGTTTGTTCTCCTGCCCAGTATTTACTGCAGTAGTTTCCAGGGAGCGATTTTATTTTTTTACTCTGTAATTAATGTGTTTTAAAATGTAGCGAAGTACAATACTTCAAACAAAATATACTTAAATAAAAGTAAAATGACAGATTTTACAAATTACTTTAAAAAGTAGAAGTACACAAAAAAGCTACTCAATTACAGTAACGTGAGTAAATGTAATTAGTTACTTTCCACCTCTGTCTGTGAGTCAGAACAGCCGGCATTGTAGTCTACTCTTCCAGGATCAGGAAACAGTCCTCCATAAAATGTGCTGCACACATCCGAATATTTGCGTTGAACTGTTCTGGAACAGTGTTGTAAATACAACTTAACCACTGATTTCTAGTCGTGTCCTCTTTTGGAAGACCAAACAAAGTAGTTTCGCTTTCACAACGAAACACACGGTGGGCTAGAGTGAGTGGTGGCGGGTGGGCTTGAGAACGGCGCGGCTGGCGGATTCGACAAAGGAGCGGCCGGTGGGCTTGCGGCAACCACATGTGACAACTCCGGGCTGGACTCCGCTTCGTCCACGGTGAAAGCCGATCCGGCGATCCACAGCGCGAAGTTGATGTATTTCCTCAGCGACCAGCACGGATCAGCTCCAGGCATGACGAAGCGGATATCGTCCTCTTTTGGAAGGCCAAACAAAGTAGTTTCGCTTTCACAACGAATCACACAGCGCCTTCACGACATGGTGGCGGCGGCAACAACAATACTACAGCGAGAATAAAAGTTACGCCTACTTTCTTTGCGTGAACATTTGGGCGGCGTTATGCAAATATTCCCACATAGTGAGGTAGATATGTGGGGGCGTGTTAGAACGAGCCATTTTAGGTAGGTGTGGCTAACTCTTAACTTTTATAAAGAATATCTCTTTGGATTTGAGACTCTAGTCTTTGCAACTTTACAGATCTTTACAGAGCTTGTAACACTCCAAAGAGAAAGAAAAAATCG